AAGCTAAAACTAGGTAGAACATATTTACAGCCTTTTCTTTATCTTAAATGCAAAATGTATATATTTTGCATTTTGACTTAAATCACTGCTCTGATTGTGTTGTTCTTTCAGGAAATGGTATATTTTAGAGTATGTATATTCCAGTTAAGGATTAATCATTAATTCTTTCAATATATTAAATCATCACAATTGATCTCATCATTCCATCTTTTATGCAAATGAAATTTAGGAGAGCTTAACTCAGATTCCACTTTCTGCACATTATGGCTACAGTTGAATTTAATTTTAAGGAGATAAACAGCTGAAATGTGGCGCTGGAGTCTGTTGGCACCAGACTCAGCTGCATCTTAAAGCAGGTTTGGCTAAGTTTAATGAGGTGCTTTTCTGCTGCAACCCCAGCATTTAACCCTCCACTCACAGAGGAGTCGAGGACGGCCAACTTTGATCTCCCCCCCGTACCCCCAACCCGGGGGACAACGACCAGCAGCCTGGTCGCCATGGAAAGCTCTTCATTACTTTGCTGAAGAGGCAACGGCTCTGTGTTCTCCCTCCCCACCTGCTCACTAATGACATATCACTCTGTGTAGCATCTTTGTTGGCCTCTCTATTGACACAAAGCGCCAAGTCCTAATTTGTGTTAGGATGTTGTTTGCTCACACAGAGGAAGGTGGGTGGCGGCGGCGGGGTTAAACTGGCCCAGTGGGTCGATGGATAAGTAATGACTTGTCTAGTTGCCCCTCAAAAGACACACTAGCACTTAATTAATAGCATATCAGAAATCAATGTCAATTCTCTAAAGATATAAGACAAAAGAATGAACTTTTTTTTTTAAGCAAATTCCAACTTTAAGTACTCTTGAACAGTAATTATCCAGTCGATCTTGTAGCTGAAGATAAAGAGTAGAAGTGATGTTTATGATGATATTCTTTAAAAAGCTACACACACTTTTTCTGTTTACCTACAAACATGTATGACGGGAAAAATCCTCACTTGGAGAATTAAAATGAATCAGTTCTGCAACTGAGATGAGTTTTTTTTTTCTTTAATAAAATGTAAACAAGCAGTACACGAGGTATCACCAATTAAAACATTCATCCAAGTCTCAATACTATAAATGTGTGAAACTTTTCTAGATCCTGAACAAAAACAAAAGCATGCCAAGTGTCTGCAGTATAAGCCCACACTGACACCTGCTGGTAGTTTAAGTTCATTACATCAGAACTGTTCATGGAAAAGAAAAATAACTGAACATATGTTCAAATAAATAAATAAAACTAACAACTACATAAAGAAAGGTACTGACCACAAAATGGATTGTTAACGATAAGTGAGTTTATTGCTAACCAGGAGTTGAATTTTCTTGCCATCTCTGAGGATAAATTCTGGTCTATATTCACAATTAAATTTAAAAATACTTTATCAATCCCAAAGGGAACGTTATAGTTGTAGTGCCTTGAATTATTTAAATTTCTTCAGTGGGTCATTGGAGGTGGGGACGCATGGTGGCAGGAAGGAAGGATGTAAGGAAGGAAGGGTGAAAAAGGGACAAGAAAGGACAGAAGGGGGAAAGGGAAGTAAATAAAAGGAAGGATGGACAAAGACAAAAAATGAATGAATACAGGCACAAGCAAAAAAATGTAGGATGGAGAAAGAAAACATGTATCAAATAAAGATGGGAAAACAAGGAAAGTAAGTCACCAAATGACAAGGACATGAGGAAGAGAAAAAGAAATACAAGATAAAAGAAAACACTAATATGTTTTCCATAGTTTGGTTTTCTCCATTTTCCAAACTGCTCTGATAAATCTGCTCCACAAATTGATTTATGTTTGTCTGTCTGTGCAGACACATGCAATTTGTTGGAGAATTACACTTTTTTTCAAATCAAATACTTTTGAAAGCTTCAGTTCACACCTTTCTGTGCTTTGAGTCACTTTAAATGATAAAAAAAAAACATCTCCTGTCCACAGAGCATTTCACAGATTTACTGACAATTCAATCAACACTTTTGGCTGTAGGGACATTAACTGAAGCAGCAGAATGTTTTTGATCGCCCCTGTAAACTGCAATCCAGATAAACTGTAAGTATATTTAAGTCAATGCTAAAAACCGACAAGGAATTGGAGGAAAATTCAAATGAATGCAACATTTCACCATTCTTCGGTAAGTTGGTGCTGCAATAGTTCAAAAGGGGCAAACAGGGATCACATAAAATTGAAACCCAGACCAATCACAGCTCGGGCTTTTTCCCATTGCGGTGCTGCAAGGAGTTACCTGCCTGTCTCCAGACTGCTCGACGAGAGATGCAGGCAGTCTGAGCTGCTTCCGCCTGAACGCTTGAACCACCTAACGGAAGCTCGCTCTGCGGCCGTGACGCTCCAATCCACAGTGGAGCTCCGTCACTAGTGGCGCTCAGGTCACCAGAATCGGCTTTACTTCTTTTAAATTAGTCTGTCTTCCTCTCAGCCACACGCAGGAAATCTGCATGGAGTCTCGATTGAAGTTTTAGGGAGCAGAGGTCTCACTCCGCCGTTTATTCCGTGCAGTAAATAAGTCATCAAGAACGAATACAGGCGGGAAACGCCAATGCAGTCACATGACGCGGTGTTTCCGCTTTCAACACCAATTTCTCAACCTTTTCAAATCTAAAAGAGTGGATGTACTTGTTCATGCATGTCATTCTAACTTGATGATAAACTGCTGTTGAATCTTTTGTTAATGTGTTGATCTTAAATAAATAAAAGAATAAACAATGATTGCCTTTTAATTCCAACATGTAAGCTACATTTCTATACAGAATAGATGCAGTTCATGGGAGATGTAAATGTAAAACATCCTAATAATCATGTGTACACTTTAGTTTGGAATAGAATAGAATAGAATAGAATAGAATAGAATAGAATAGAAATATCCTTCATTGTCCCATACAAATTCAGGAAATTCAGTTGTACCAGCAGCAAGTTAAAGTTTAAAGGAGCTTGCATTAATGTTACATCTCACGTTTCAAAAGTTTAGGACCTTGAGGATAACTTTAGGAGAGGTTTCCCGGGGCTTCTCTAAATTGAGATTGAGAAAGTTGTAGATAACCTCAAAACTTCAAGACGATGTCGTTTAATGTCAAGGAATTAGTCTTCGTGGCTGTTTTAGGCATGCACTTTGAAAGTTGCTCCTGACTTTCAGAAAGCCAGTAGTCTATAAAGTTTACTTTGTGAAAACAGAAGAAAACTCTCATGAAATGTTCCCTGAAGGTTGACCAGTTGTTACATTTTTAAAGATGAATTTGACATTTAGAGCTTTGTAAAGAGCTTCATAAAGTGTTTCTGGAGACCATGGGAAACCTTACTGCTGGTGATTTCTGTATCTTATGGGACTCTGACATATTTATAAGACACAAAGAATAAACATAAACTTCAGATTCAGATCTACTAAAGAACAGAAAAAAAACATAACATGAAAGTAGATTACTCTAAAAACCTTGGTTTGTCCAAGGAATATAAAGTCCTTCAATCACCTATTTAGATATCTTGGATCTTAACTTTACTGTATTACTATAATTTTATTACATTAAATAAAGATCAAAAGGGCAATTTAAATTTATTTTATATTTCATTTGGGGATTATTAATGAACCCGATCACTTTGTGCCAGCCATAGCATTCATGTCAACGGCTCCAATAATCTATCATAGAAACATTATTCCCGAGGAATGGTAGAGGCTCATCTTCTTGTAAGAGACGATCTTCACTTGAAGGCCGCAAAAACACCTTAATCGTCACTTCCTCCCTGAGGAAGAGGCGGGGCTGCTGTATTTTAATCAGTTTGGTAACGCTTGAATGATTCAGTTCAATTAATTGCATGGTTTATTTTGTAGCCTCCCGCCATCATTGAGTGACAGTTTGGGTGAGGGTCGGGGGTTGGTCTTTACAGATTATAGACATTTAATCTCCTCATTCGCAACCCCCCGAGCATCCCGCTGTATGTGCTCAGAATTACTAGTTTCATAAAAAGGAATGCACTTTTATTAACACACTTTAAAAAGGCATTCATGATAATCTATGTAATCATTTCATGCTTATGAAATCCAGCAGATTCAGAGATCCAGTTTATACCTCTGTCTCTCTCTTTCTGTGTGTGTGTGTGTGTGTGTGTGTGTGTGTGTGTGTGTGTGTGTGTGTGTGTGTGTGTGTGTGTGTGTGTGTGTGTGCTTTGTGGGTGGAGATTGAGAACCTCCTCCTAAAAACAGTCAACACCAGCCTGCTTCACTCCCTGCAGCACCTTTGTTATTTCTAAATTTGGGACTGCAACATATTTTTCGTATTCATCATTTTATTTACTTATAGTCTCACAACCTTCCTACAACTCATTGAAATTATTTTATTTTTTTCGACTAGCCACCATTACAGCAAGGTAAGTGTTATTCAGGACCGTTAGGGATCAGTTTTGTCTAACGAGAGAGTCAGCCATGAAAACTTGAATACAACCAGTGTTGTTTTTTGTTGTTGTTTTATTTGGAGGGGGGGACTAAGAGCAGTGACGTTCTAACCACAGATTCGGGCCGAACTCGGACGTTTATTCCTGCTTTCAGTAGAGCAAACGGAGGTTTGGATGTCGAACGTTGTTGTGTTAAACCGTTGAAAATCCGCGAGCGACGTGACGTACGAGCTAGAAGATTCTACACGTTCACCGTAAAGCGCGAGCAGTTACAGTGGCTGAAGGCGTCGACCACACGCAGACCGATAACGTGTCTTTAAAGTCCCGCAGTTTGGGGTTAATTGCGTTAAAAGCCGCCAAACGACGCACGTCCGACTCTACGAGAATGTGTGCAGAAGTTGACGTCCGTGAAACGTTGCAGGCAGCTAGCATAAATTGTTTTCACTTGGTTTGGCACTTTTTCTGGAGGGGTGAACTCGCGCAGTTATATATTTAAAATCCACTCAAGGAATGATTTGACGTCCATCAGTTAATTCACGACGCAACTTCCTGAGTAAGTTTCCCTTTGTGTTCATCTTTTGAAAGGTTATGAGCTTTTAGATGGACATGTTCTTTTGATATGGACGATATAAACACGGCGACAGTTATATAGAGCAACCTTTTAAAATGCTAATTTTTGCCTTCAGATTTCTTATACCTGAAGTTAGGTGTCCAGGTTTGGAAAATATGTAATCTCTTAATGCGACAGATATTGCATGATCATTGCAGTCCCTTTCATTATCTGTTATTAATGTCAGAAGGGTTGTCAGACTTTTTCTGTCTACCCTTCCAACATGTGATATGGATTCATTACACAAAGAATGTATGCTCATTTCTAATATCTATTGCTGAAGGTTAGTAGAAACCTGAAATTCAGTTTGTAGGAAAAACATATTACAAAAGAACAATAATTTACAGAAGTGTCAGTCTACTGAGAAGCATGTCCATGTAGTGCACACTGGATGCAATCAGTTCTTGATCTGGGATGACCAACCTGTGGCGTTGAGGCCACATTTCAGAAGAATCTCAGGAAAATTAAGACTGCAATGTTGTTCAGACATCTGAAATTCTCTCTGCATGTAAATACCATGTTTACTTTTCTTTTGAAAATCAAAGACCAGGAGTTTGGAGGAAGGGTGAAAAAACATAAAACCCAACTTGCTTTGTGATACAGTGCGCTTCCACAGATTATGATGAATTGAGGAACTAACGTCCTCTAATGTTAGTTTATTGTTACATCAAGTCCTAAGTCAGCTGCCCATCAAGAATTTTAGAGCATGACATTCTCGATGTGCTTGATTGACCATCAAACTCACCTGATCTAAACCCATAAAGAATTTATGAGGTGTTGTTGTGAGGATGAAAATGAGCAACACTTGACCCAACTGTCCAGAAAGGCTGGTGTTAAAGCGATCTGGGCTTCCTTAACAACTTCTGAATGTTTACCATCAAACATTTGTTAAATGTATTCTAGTAGAGCCAGATATCAAAAATGCACTTTTGTTTATGTCAAGACAAAATACGTATTTGGATATTGTCTAAATACTGCAATGGTGTCCAGGGTGAACCCGGCCTCTCGCCTGCTGACCGCTGGAGATGGGCACCAGCACCCCTCACTATCTTAATAGGGATATGCATGTAAGATGATGGATGGATATTGTCTAAACAAATAAAAAATGTTATTATTTTGTCCGTTAATTTTGTTACCATTAATATGTTGTGAAAGCCTGACATTGGGTCAATTTCTTCCATGTACAGTAAACTGCAGTGATTGAGTTGTAGTATAAAAAATGACTTGCACATTGTTAGAAGTTTATAATCCTGATGAGATTCACAAATGAAAACTTAATTTCTCAGTGCCTAACTTTTCAAGAATAAAAAAAAAAGAAAACATGCTAAAGTTAAACTTAAGCATCTTTCTTTTTCTCCATCAAAATGACCCCAAAAAGAGTTTTTGGTCTGTTTGGTTTCAATCGTCCCATTTGAAGATGTTGTTCAGCTTAGTTCCAGACTACAAACAGGTCGGCCTTGTTTTTGGTATTAGTAGCACACCCAAAACACACTCCTTTATTTTCTGACACATTGTGTGCTCCCAGCAGCCTGTTGTGTAGTGCTGACATTCAGCTCCACTTCATTTTATATATTACTGTCACATCGGACATTTAAAGGTTTTTGACTGCATACAGTCATGAAAGTACAACCTCTTCAAACTCTTAATGTTTTATGTTATTGTGATAACCTAACAGAATTAGCAAAACTCAGAATAGACAATACTTAGATTACTAACTTAGATTTTTTTTTTTTTATTGAACAAAATTAAAGTCAAAATACTAACATGTCTGTTTTTATGAAATTCCTGGGAACATTGTCTAACCTTTGGGGGGAATATGGTGGGATGTTAACTCCTGGAAAAGTCTGAAAGCTCCTAATTGTAAAAAAAAAAATCGCTTTTCTTTAAATGGATAAATATAATTTGTTTTCTAATGACCTTATAGCCCCTTCCATATGTTTTACTCCTAAGGTTTTAGAGGAATAAGTCGTATTTGTTTATTTTACGGGTAGATATGTAAAATACTTGAATTATTTTATGCCATGACTTTAATCAGCACTCTGACAAAGTCACATTTTTAAAGTAAAACCTGTTTATTAAAGAAGATAAAAATTCCTCCAGCTGTAATCGTCAGTGCATACGTGTAACTACTTGAGTCACCTTAGTAATTTTGTTATGTTTGTTGTCAGATGAGTCAGGCCGAGCAGGTGCCTGAGGACATCCCTGCATGCCACACAGATGAGCCAGAAGCTACAGGTAAGCTGAGCTCTAAATCTGCTTTGACACCTCATAAAACACACAAGGCCAAGAACACAGTTGAAGTTTTGACTTAAACTGACTTTTTAATATTTAATGAAGGAAAAAATAATCAGGCTGGATTTGGTTAAATTAATGTCAAGGCATGCTGAATCTAAATTACAATGCAGGAATGCAGCTTTTAAGCATCACCTAAAGCTAATGAACTTCATATACAGAGAGGGCCCTGCGACAGACTCCACTAGGGACAAGGGTGTTAGAAAATGAATGGATGCATGGATATACAGAGAGAGATGAAAAGCATTGAAAAAATATGTAAACACTGCAGGACTTGTTTCTATTATGGAAACATACCTTCCATCACTGTTCTCCAAGTAAAAGCTCCATCATGTTTCACAGACTATGTTTCTTTACCGTGTCAGACATTAAATAAAACTAAACCTTTCTGCTTGGATTCAGTTTGAATGAGCAAAGTGATTTATCTCTTCTAAAATAATGAGAGAGAAACATTTTTCATGAACATATTCGTCCAAGTCAGAATTTACCATACAGTGAAATGTTTTTTTAGCATTAGATTGTAACTGTATGTTTTTGGTCAATTGTTCAGGGTATCCTTTTACAATCATCACAGTGGTTTGCTAGAATGTTCATTCGTTGTACTTCACAATGAACTAGATCACCGCAGGGTTTGCAAGTTTCCCTCCTTTTCCCTCAAATGTAATAGCAGAGGAGTTCAAAATTCGTCCTGTGTGTTTTGAATTTTTTCTTTGGTTCAACACACCTGGATCAAATAATGGTTAATTCTCTCCAGAACTTTGACATCGTGATGACGTAGTTGGAGCAGAGGCTCATCTAAACTTTCAGGATACCAGGCCTTGAGTAATGGAGCGGGACACCCATGGACGACAGTAGAATAGAGTAGAAATGCAGTGCATGTCTTCAACCCTGAAGGTATTTGCAAACTGTAATCTTATTTAGTTGTTGCTGCTGCTTTTAGATCAGTAACCACATTTCTGACAGGCCTTATCAGGCCATGTTGGTGAATTACTTGTTTCATTGTGGATACTGACACTCTCAGCAGCTTCAGCCTCCTGGCAAGGTTGTTTGCATTTGTCCTTTGGGAGGATATGTGCATTTGGCAGCAGAGCACATTCATCCTTCCTGAATGGTACAATGGCTGGATATTTCCCTGGTGTTTATACTTTCATATAAATGTTAAAACAGAAGAACGTGGCACCGTCAGGTGTTTGGAATATGTATCCAGGGATGAACCAGACTTTCTAATACCTTTGATTTATTTAGATTTTTTTCTATTTACAAGATCTGACTCAAGAAAGCAGTTTGAGGTGTTCCTTTAAAGCACACCACAAAATGCCTCCAATTTACTCAAATGTAAAGTAAATTATCAAAACTTAGAAAATCTACAAACTCTTTAACTGGGTTTTCCCAGATTATTTAAATGTTTAGAAAACCTCACCAACGCCAGCAGGTGGCATGATGTCCTAAATGATCGTTGTCTGTGAGAACTTCACCCTGGACCTGTGTGGTAGCACTGGCTTCAGTTTCAATCCAGGTCTGCTGAATATTCCCCAAACTCTTGAATAGGCTTTGATTCACATTTGTCTCAAGGCTGAAATGATCCTGAAATTGACACCTTCGCAATCTTCCATATGTTTGTGGAGGCTGTACTATAACATTTCTTTTTAAAAATAATAATTTTATTGTCTTTATCTAATATTCCTTTTTTTAAAAAACAGAATTTGTAGTTTTTAATTAAAATTTATTAAACAAACACTTGAAGCATTTCACTTTGTGTTTATGCTTTTGAATAAATTACTGACATAAATTAAGTATTAACTGATATTTTTATTTACTGAAATGGAATTGCCCCCGTAGTCACAGAGTAAACAATCTGTCTTTCAGAAACAAATTAATCATTAAAGAAAAAGTGATAGTATTTATAGCTTTTTGTCGTTGATTAAATCAATTCACAAAATGTTGATTTTGTTGTTTTAAATCAGACGCCAACAAGGACCACCCACAGACACAACCAGGGATGTTCGGCAGGTTGGCGGGGGGTTTGTATGGAGCCACCAAAGCTACAGTGGGTGGCGTGACTTGGTTAGGAGGAAAGAGCCTGGACATCACTAAGACAGCTGTCTGCACTGTGGCTGCCGTGCCTGTAATGGGAGTGGGGCTGGTGAAGGGGGGAGTGTGTGCCGTGGCTGGCGGTGTGACCGCGGTCGGATCTGCAGTAGTCAACAAAGTTCCTCTAGGAGGCAGCAAAAAGAAAGACAAGTCTGACTGAAATGGAACTGGAGACTGGACACACACACCTCACACTGCTGTTGATGGTTTTACATTTGTAAACGGGAGAAAAAGCAACTAAAGACTTAGAGCTGCAGTTTGCAAGTTATGTTGTTTTTGTTATTTTTCAACAAAAATAACAAAAATTGTATCTAGAGATACAATTAACAATTGTTTAATTATGTCTTCAAAATTTGTGCATAAAAGAAAGCAATACAGCACACCTGTTCTCTTTCCTTTTGATTCAAGACAATCGATGATGATGATCTGTGCCTTATAAGAAGTTGTTACTATCATCTGGAAATAATTCACTTTCAGCTGGTAAATACTAGAAACACTCTGAGTCTGATTTCTGATTATTTCTCTTCAGCTAAACACACGTTCTGACAAATGATCAGATAAATCTGATCAAGGACATGGTAGGTAAAGTCCAGTTTTTTAATATGGATTTCTATGGGTTGGTTTATTGTGTTTAACCTAAATATTTTGGTGTCTTCCATTTCAAAGTGCATGCTTCTCAGATGTATGTCTGTCTTGTAATCTTCTCACCTTAGTAGAAGATCCCTGTTTTAGACATTTTATTATTATTTTCACTACAATAAATGCATTTTATTATTGTGCAAAGGACTTTTTGTAATTAAATCTTTTCTCATTTGTATGCTTTTCTTTTGTTCTTCTTGTAAAATAAAGCTTAAAGGTTTTTAAAATAAAATTATGGAGATAATTTTCTTTATTTTAGGTAAAAAAAATATATATATATATAATTCAAATGATTGAAGTTTCACTGTAAAATTGTATGTTTTAATATTTGGAATGAGATTTAATTTCTTCAGTAATTCAGAACTCATGTATTAATTGCAGTAAATTGGTACTCCAGTAGCATACTGATCCATAACAATTCATTAGTGCATCAGAATTGGTTAACTGTGAATTATTTTTTAAATGAATATTTATACAGAAAGTATGTTTTTATAAACCATTTTTGAAGCCCCTAAAAACTATTATTGGATACATTAAAAAACAATTTCGTGCAGCACAATAAAACATGTTCAGTTTCTGCTTGCTCAAAACCATTCACCTACCAGGCTTACAGTTTGGTAATAACAACAAAGTTAATCCTCCTGCATACAAAACACAGGCACCACCCTTCGTCCTCTTTCTTCTGCCGTTTCTTCCTTCACCACACAATCTAATGCATACCACCAGCACTCCACCACTGCCAATGTATCCAATTCTATCAAAAACAAAAATGCTAATTTAGTTAATCAGAAATAGGACAGGGTAAGTGGATGAAAATTTGAAGCGTCCAAATCATCGTAGACTACTTGTTTGACCGGTCTGTACATTGTGCTTCTCACTTGTTTCAGCCTAAGATGGTTTTCAAGCCAAATTACTTTGGAAATGCTGTTTTGTATGTTTTCGTAAATGAAATAAATGTTTTTTGAATCTCAAATTGTGTTTCAAGAGTTTGTTCAGCGCACTAAATATAATATTGTAAGCCAAAGAGGGTCAAATGAAATCTGTAAGAAGCAGAAACAACCCATTAATCTTCTCAGTTAACTTGATACTGAAAACAACTTCAGTATGCAACAGTTACATTTATTATTTCTCTTTGTGGCGCCCTCTGACCTGGGCAGAAATCCACCACTGACTGTCCTTGATCTGTCCCAGTGTCTGTGCTGTGAAACAGGTGAAACTCCAGGTGTACAAGTGCTGTTTGCAGAGGCATTTGGGTCTTAGCATGTGCTGTTGTCAATGACCGACTCAAAGGGATGCAAAATAATCACCAGCCAAGGTCTTCCAAGCAGCGAGGCTTACATAATTTTTTTTTTACTCTGTTTTGTTGACTCTTTGGGTCACAGTAACTTTTAAAAAGTCAGATCGTCTGGTTTTGTTTGCTTTTAAATGTTTACTTTGTTCGGTCACAGTAGCAGGAATATTGATTCCCCTGCCCCTAATTTACATGTGAAACAATTTAACCAAACAATTTAAACAATTTGTAGCACATTCTATCTTTTTTTTGTTACATTTTGTTTAACTGGATTTACAAATATCAATACATTGTTTTTTGTTGTTTTTTTTTTACATTTTAATTCATGCAGTTTGTCAACAAACTATAATTTAAACTATAATTATTTTAAACTTGGGCTGCTCCTGCGATGCCGTCTGGTTTTTTTCATGCTTGACATATTTGGAGAATTTGTACAATAATTCAAACTCGTACAATGAAACCACAAAATACAACACTGATCATATTGTCAAGTAAACAACTTTTACATGAAGGACTAACAAGAATCAATCATCCCATCTTCAAAACTGAATCAACTGCTGGTTATATATTGTGCAATCATTTATTCAGAAATACAGTTATTTATTTATTTATTTTTTACAGTTCAACAACTGCATTAATTTTTAAAGTGTTTTTTTTCTAAATGTTCCCAGTTGAATTGCTGAGGTTGTCTCTGCTCACTCCTGAGGGGCAGTCATAATCACTTGTCCAGATGAAACCACAACCTTTGGTTCAACCTTCCTCTCCTCTGCAGCCTCTGTGTCTCTCTCTGCACGACATGAAAACTATGGTCACATCTGGGTGTCTGTTGATCATTATATTTTTCTAGGCTTTTAAATGACTCACTTACTTCCTTTACTGTGACATAATGGTTCACAGCTCACACCATGTCCTGGAACACACACAGCTGTGCTGCAATGAATGTACACCTGAAGAAGAAAAACATTATTAGGAATAATATCTAATGACAGTCATTTTTTGTCAGGGTGCTACATTCATTACATATCTGTTTTGGGGTTCCATTGTGTCGGTGTCCACAAAGGCAAACATTTTGAAAATGAAACGTCGGTAGTGAGTTGGAAATTTCAGACCAGATGAAGGACCCACTGGAACCAGTGTGGAGAGGTAACGATCGTCTGCATATGGACATCTGGATGGAGATGGAGTAATACCTGGGTCAACATGGGTGTGTTACGACAAACAGCACAGCAGAGCCAGAACATTTCTGAAGGAATTTAAACAGGGCCTGCCAAAGTGTGGAACCCAGTGTTCTGATGCTAAAAAATTGCATCAATGCTAAGCTTTGCTAAGATAATATTGATAGCATGTGGAGAATCTCAAGCATGCTGACTAACATGGACTTAATCCATTCAGTAGGTTAAAACTTCCGCATTAGCTAAAATTAGCCAAAATGTAAATGTCAGTTTAGATGTTGCCAGTGGCATGAGGGGTATCACTAGCATGTTGTCATACAGTCACTTCCTTCATTCAGTATACTAAACATGGCTAATAGATAATAAAAATTGACAACAGCTTATTTTAGGGAATAGGCTAATGCTAATGCACTGCCCTGCAGTGCTAATCCAAGTGCTAATGACTTGCATTAGCACTGCCTGAGAGGAACATTCACGCTTTTATTTTGAAATTTTCAGTAAGCTTTGTTTTAAAGGGCCACACTAATACTAGGTGTAACAATGGTTTAGTTAAACCACTGTTACACATATAAAGCCCAAAAGAGCAATTACCTGATGTGAAAATCTGAAGGCTTTTATTTTATTTTGGTATTTTCACAGAAATATGTAAATTTATCTACACATAAACCTGGTAGCCAAGAAACATACTTGTCACTTACCATTAATTTGCCCATTTGTTTTAGGGACCAAGGAGCAGATGGGAAATTTCATCTCCCTCAGGGCCAAAGGAGCCAATTGTTCACAAGGGCCAAAAATTCTGAATTTTTACTACTGTCACAGAACAGTAGTAAAACTGGAAATAACTTTCCAGTTTTATTTTTCTCTATCCAGAAAACTGCAGCATTGTTTTCAAAGTAGTCATGTCAATAAATTAAGTTTATTTGACACGATACAATAATACTTAAGCATACTGTGCAATGTTTTGTGGGTTGCTCTAAAAAAACTTCATTCCGGTCATTTTTTCTCTTTTTCTCTATGTGTTAAATTCATTCTAGACAAGATGGGCCTCCATGACATAGTAATACCGTCTCAGACCGAAAAAAATGGGATAGCCTTAAAAATTATGAATTTGTCTTTTAATAAACAAAATCATGTGATTTACAGTCTGGATCCATAAAAATGGTTTTATTTTTAATTTTAAATAACAAGTACAAACATTTTAAATGAAATTACTTTCAGTTTGGTCCAGTTCGCTTTATGAAACAAATATTAAGTAATGCATAGCAAATACAGTTATTTACACTGAAAACTGCAGAATTAACCTCAGTGACCTATTCCTGGAAAACGTTTGACAAAAAAAAAAAAAAAACATAAAAACAGAAAGTCTTTGGCAGTGTGCCTTGAGGCAAGATCAGAGACATGGATAGGGTGCTGCAACAGAGACACGTGACTTTTCTTCTTCTGGATGACACGCAAAATTCAGATGGAGGGCCAGAAGGGGATTTCTCTGGTTCAAAACATAGCAAATTGATCACAACAGTAATGCCCTAAGTAGGCTAGAACTGAAGGAACTGATGTTCTTGTGGTTTCATCGTCTACATAAATTGTTCCAATGCTTTGCTAAGCTTCCACTTCAGTCCTGTCACTCAAATAATGTTATCCAATATATTAAACATTAACTCTACCCAGTATAGTTTTCAGTTTGTAAACATTTCCTAAACATGACGGTAGCGGTTTTGGACACGTAGCCCTGACAGTCTTATCCATGGTACCGTAGCAAAATCTGGCGAGGTAGCACTGATACCTTGATACATCATATGAAAGTGATGTAGCTATGAAGTTACATCACTCCGCTGCTCTTTATTATTAAAATGATAAACGTAGGTTTTCCTGGACTTTTATAAACGAATACCTCTTCTATGCATCATTTGTTTGTATTACTATTGGTACAGATTAATAGGCAAACCCTATGCTGCGTCTATTAGTAGCTTAAATTAATTCCAGCTATAGACTTTAAAAACAATATTCAGATTTCAACATGCATTTTCTAAAGAGTCAATATTTCAGTTTACTTTTACTCAGTTACTTCAGTGTTGTTACACCTCTGAGATCATTTTTGCAGCTTCTTTAATTGTGATACCAGAACTGTTTCACTTAAACATTTCCTGAGATATTGTCAATTTATTTTCAAGCAAAACTCTCAAAAAGAGCTTAGGGTTTATCAGTTTTTGATTTAATTGTGTGGCTAAATATGAGCACTTTATTTTTTATGTATTTATTATTGTTTTTATTTTTTCAGGTTTGCATTGTTACACCTCATGATTTGTTTCTGAGCCACGATTGAGCCGCTCTACCAATTACCTTTCCCTTGGATCCAAGCACCTGGTCCTGCTGACCGCTAACGTGTCCATCAGTCCACTGTCTGCCGGATCATCACAGCATGGACCAACTTTTTATTTACACTACTCAGTTAAGTTAGGATCTGGAAACCAGACGTCAGATATGCAAAAATCTACCTGCAGACTTTATTGGCTACCCTGACACTGCAGTGACCCTGGACTGAGCTGAGCCGCTCTTCATCCCCTCCAGATCGATGTGTTTTCATCACCAGTAAAGGCAAACATGTCTGATGTCTGAGTAACTGCTGTTCATTTTGTTATCCTGTTTGAACTTAAAATAAAATCAAGTGTCTTTTGTAATATTCTGGATTTCATAAACCTTTTTTCCCCCCTTTTGTCAGTGCTTACATTACATCAAGTATTTGCATGTAGATCAGATATTAAAATAGACTTAAGTAATACCAGCAAAGAAATGTGAATATTAAGAAATATGCAGTTAGTCATGTTATTCAATATACATTGAATTAGGCTGGATGATATGACTTTAAAAAAATTGTCATACTAGATTTGATTTTAATCGATTCCTCCCGTCCTCAATTTCTATAATAAAATTACAGAAAATACTTTCAAGACGTGCCTTTATTTCAATCATTTCTTCTGGTAGTTGTATAACTTTACACTTTAAACTTGAGGATCTCACTGTGCCTGAGATGTATCGTAGCATTATGGCCAGAATCCATCCACCCATCCATTTTCTATAACCCCTTGTTCCTAGTGGGATCGGGAGGTGCTGGTGACTATCTTTACTTTCTTTGTGAACGTTTCGGATGAGAGGCGGGGTACACCCCGGACAGGTCGCCAGTCTGTGACCAGGATCAGGGGCGCTGCCAGGAATCTTGGGGCCCCATGATAAAAAATTAATTTGGGCCCCCTTCGCAGCTGCTGTTATAGTTTCTTGAGTCTATCTGATCCATTAAAAGCGTCACAATTTTAAAGGCTTGCAACTGCCTTGCTTTCCCTGATCCAATTTTGATACTGGCACAATACTCACTGCTCATAAATTCTACATGCAACAATCCACAGACTGGTTGCTTAATTTGTTTTTAATAGTTTTTAGCTGGTTGAAATGTCTCTCCCCTCCAGCAACACTCACAAGCAACGTGCAAAATATACATGAAGCAATCCAGACTTCTCCAAAAATGCTACGTTGTTATATTTTGTTCAAGTGGCAGAATATAACTAATAAAGAAACATGTTTTCTCCATACTTGTTAAAGCTGTAACCATGTGACAATTTGCAAAGAAACTGTCTAAGATCAATGTCCTCCACCTCCTCGAGTTGCTATTGCTGTCTGAAGAAATGTGAGGTTCTGTCCAAAAACAACCAATCAGAACCAGGACAGTCTAAGCGCTGTCAAGAAACCTCATTAACTCCCTGCTTAGTGTGCTAATGGAATATTTGATGAAGATTGTTTGAATTTCTGTGAGTAATAAATACATTGTTTTTGTTGTGTAACTTTAAAAGAGTTGAGAGACAGGAAAAATCAGATTGAACACAGTGTTGCTCAATTCTGTCACTGGGACAGGGCTGAAGGTTATACTGGTATCAGGGTTAGAGCTGCTGCTGACCCACTCATCTGTTGTTAAGTGTGGTAAGTAGTATAGGGGAAAGTTAAATATATAAATATGTTGTTAAACTCTTCCCTTCATTCATTAAATGCTAGTGAAATGGAGGTAGCCTGTAGCTAAGCTAAATGGTTGACAATCTCTCAGTCGACCCACCTGCCTTGGAGGAAAAACTGGGCTATAAATTGACACGCTTGTAACTTTTTCTCTTTCTTTGTGAAACCCTAACTTTATTATTTTTCTTGGCAGCACAGTAACTGCCACAGTCATAGCGATGTCTTAAAATTACAAGAAGTCGTTTTAATGAGAAACACATTGATCTGTTTCAGCTCAGTCCATGTGGTTCTGACACATTCGCCAGTAATCAAGAGGATGTACATTTCCACTTCAATTAACCAGCTAAGATATTCTGACCGACATTAAGGTAAAAATAAAAAATAAAGCAAATATACAAAATGGAAACAGAGCGACGGATAGGAATATGTTCTATATAGAGAAAAGCAAAAAAGTTAATAGAAGGAGAAGCTGTTAGCAGCATTAGCTTAGCCGATCCTTCCCTCCAGGAAGCCACCAAACAGAACTTCCTGCCCAACTCCAGCTATACTAAAAGAAAAAACAACAAATGGAACAGAAAGATAAAATAACAAATAATGCCAATTCGATAATTGTGGTCCAGATGCAAAAAACGTTATGAAATTTATATACATCTTACAAATTTCACAAATCAATTAGAAAGTTTCACAAATGTTTTATTTATTCTGATATTAGTGTTGAATAATCCAGTCAGAGTTTTAAGTGTTTGGGTGTTGTAGGTTTTAAAATACAACGCATTAAAAATGCTCAAGATAGTGAAAATAAGTGTAATCATTTAGCTATTATCCGAATTAGAAGCTATATTCGGAAGCTAACTTCAGCTTCGATTGATAGCTACTCATTGAATATTTTACATATATATATAAAACATCATTGCACAGATAGATCACAAATCGCACTAATAATCAAAACGTTTAACTTCTACATAGCATCTTTGTAAGATTGTCTCTGTTAGCTACGTCAGACCTGAGGCATTATGGTGAATACAAATGATTTATTAACTTACCATTGAAGTTATTGTGAAGTTTGACACATCCAGCTTAAAATCCTTTGTCGTTGTTGGAGCATTTCAGGATGTCTGAATAATTCTATAAGCACCATTAAGAGGAGCCATTGTTGACACATTGTTGCCTGCGCCCCGGAAGTGACCCATGTGGAAAAAAAAATGCGGAAGTGCTAAAACGGAAGTCCGTGGCATATAGGCTAGGTGGAGAAAGAATCTTATCTTTGTGAGACACCCAGTTAGTTTTTCTGAAAAAAGCAGTCCGAACAACTCCTTCCCGTTCAGGAACTGTGAGACGTATTCGAAAACCATTTGAAGCGTATGAGAGGGCTATTTCTCGTCTCCTATAGTATTGCGATTCATATCTCTAGCTCTCTCACAGTAATATCAGCGATGAGAGAAAGATGGTGTGCGTTGAGTTCGGAAATTTTTGAGAAAAGGATGAAAATGATTGTCTGGGAGCCTGAGGTTACTTTGTCACCCTGCTTCGCTCTGAAGCACCTTGTCAGAAAACCGTCAGCCCCAGGGAAATTTCAAAAACATTTTACGGAAGAAGGCATTCGGTACGATATTCTGACCGACTTTCCTACCAATAGCTCGATTTTTGTAGGCGTGAGGGCAATTTCAAACTTGTTTAGGGCAGGGGTGCCCAAAGTCCGTCCTGCATGTTTCAGTTCTCTTCCTGGGTCAAATGATGACTCTTAGAAGGCCTAAGAAGAACACTGACATGCTGAAAAGATTGTTTATACTACCAGGGAGAGAACTAAAACGTACAGGATGCCGTCCCCCGAGGACTGACTTTGGGCATCTCTGGTTTAGAGGGTCAAAAATCCACTCCATCTCTTACACTAATGGAGCCGCAGTTGGTTTCAGTTACACTCTGCGTTCCGGCAGTTGGAAGTTTTGCCCGTTTTTCGACTTTTACGTCGCCATCGAATAAACCCCTCCAAGGGACATGGGAAATTTTTTATCTTTTGCGTTCTCGTGCAATAATGTCCACCTATTGCTCCCATACATCTATGGCAAGTCTGTCACTGCCCTCCCGATGCATTGCTATGCCAGGCCCCAATAACATTTTGATAACATGTTGATAAAATTAAAATATTGCTTCAAACCTAAAACTGCAAGGGCTATGAATAGCTTCATGCTAAACTGTAGAAATGTCACTTGCATCATTATAAGGTAATTTGTTCACTACACCAACAGCAAGTTCCCTTATCATCTTGCAGAGTTCTGCACAGTACTTGCTTTTGTGAGATTTAAATGTATTTTATCCATGAAAGTTAATTAGTACTCCTATTTTACAGATAAACTTTTCTTTTATAGTATCATTGGCAATTTTCCCTTAATTGTAATCACTGTTTCTAATAAAATTTAACATCTTTCTCACTCAGATTCAAATGGCATTAAGAAATTTTTTCGAATAAACATAATTGACATAGATGTAATGAATCAGCTTGTTATCATTACTAATATAGTGAAAAAAAAGTGTTTTAGTTACCCATTAATCAGAATGTCCCACTGGGGCAGGCTATGAGGGCTGGGGGCTGTAGTCGCCCAACAGCGTCCAAGAGTCAGAACCAGTGTGGGATCTGTCTTGTTAAGCAGCTGAACTTCCACATAGACTGGATCCCTCAGTACTTTGCCAACAGGATAGTCTGAGGCCTGATAGTAAGAGGTGTAGGCCACATCCACTGGGAGACCAGACGCACAAGTTATTACAACAGCCAAGTTTACAAAATGATTGGCATCACTTTGTGGGCAACATATACTGACCCTCTTTGCAACCCTTTGTAATGCACTGGCCATTGCCCAACTTCAGAACCACTCTAATGGGTCCAAGACCAACAGCAACGGGCACATGAGGATTATTCAACAGCAGAACTTCAACCACCAGGGTTTCAACTGAGGTGCCAATGTACCTACACTGGAAGAGTAATCTGGAAAAGAGAATGGGTGTTAAACTGGCTTATAAAGTTATTCTTAAAATATGATACTTTTCTAATGTTCACCTACTCATAGCTGCTGTCCCTGGTAATGGCGCCAAGAGGCCCAACACCCACTTCATAGGAAGATGTCATAGAGTTCTCATAGATTATAACTCCAGGCTGCTCCTACAATATGTTAAAATGGCAAAAGGGTTATTTATTGAAAAATAACCAGATTATTGCCAAAATTAAAGCAATTTTTCAATTTTGATTTTACCAATACAACAGTGCCACAGGCAGTAACAGGAAAGAAATAGATAGCAAACATGGAATTAGAGTCAACGTGTGTACAGCCTGGACCTCCTCCCCACAGTGATATCGTTTCAAGGTCAATGTGGGGCAGGGTGACGTCTTTGGCTACAACAACAATAAATTGGCCATCCTTGGTACACTGGACTGTCACTAATGGGGGGGGGAAACACAGGATACAATAAGTTAAACTATACACACAAAATTCCACTTGTAAGAACTTCTGATTAGTCACTTTTGTTTTGAATGAGATGTTTTACAGACTAATTAATGTATTTCAGTTTTTGTCTTACGAGAGCAGCCGGTTCAACACTCACCTCCTTTTCCAAAGTAGCAAGACTGGCCTTGAAAGCAACAATTTCTGGCCTCACATTCAGTGGCAGCAATGCCTGGAGCTCCACATGGTACTCTTGAAGCTTTTGGCACATCACACCTTTTATGGTGTGGTCTCAGGGGAGGAATGGTGGCTGTTTGATGCTTCTGTGGCTCAGGATACTGAGGCCAAGCAGCCATCGGTGGCTCAGGATACTGAGGCCAAGCAGGCATCGGTGGCTGAGAATACTGAGGCTTCGTAGGCATTTGGGGCTTAGGATGTGGAGGGTACTGATGCTTTAAAGCTTCATATGGCAATTGCTGGGGGTTCTGAAGTTGAGCGTAAGGGTTATGAGGTTGCTGAAGGATCTGATGTAGACGTTGCACAGTGTTTTGAGGTTGAGGGTAGGGATACTGAGGTTGCTGAGGGTTCTGAAGTCGATCTTCCGGGTTCTGAGGTTGCTGTGGGTTCTGAGGTCGACGTTGCAGGTTCGGAGGTTGAGGGAAAGGGTTCGGAGGTTGCTCAGAGTTCTGAACTTGATGTTGGAGGGGGTTCTGAGGTTGCTGAGGGTTCTGAAGTCGATGTTGCGGGTTCTGAGGTTGCTGTGGGTTCTGAGGTTGAGGGAAAGGGTTTTGAGGTTGCTGAGCGTTCTGAAGTCGATGTTGTGGGTTCTGTGGTTGCTGTGGGTTCTGAGGTTGAAGGAAAGGGTTCTGAGGTTGCTCAGAGTTCTGATGTCGACGTTGCAGGTTCTGAGGTTGAAGGAAAGGGTTCTGAGGTTGCTCAGAGTTCTGAAGTTGATGTTGGAGGGGGTTCTGAGGTTGCTGTGGGTTCTGAGGTTGCTGTGGGTTCTGAGGTTGCTGAGGGTACTGAGGCAGCCAAGGTTTCTGGGGATATTGAGGCATTTGATGGTATGTCTGTGCCTCTGCTTCATTGCTAGCCAAGCAGCATAGCAGAGCTAGTGCTGCCAAACAAGTGACACTCCAGTGACTTGCCATGACCTCACAGCTGTCTGGTCTGGTTAGTCCCCAAGTCTACGCTTTCTGTCTGCTGTTCCATTTATGTCTTCCCAGGTGTAATGCTTTACAAACTCCACCCCTTGGGGAAATAATAATTCCCAGCATTCCCACAAAGAGGGGCAATTGTGTCTTATCAGATCAGGTCAGTGAGTCAGATAAGAGTATTACATTATGTTACAGGTCACAATAACTTTTATGTGGTCTTTGCACCCCAAAATTTATCTTTAGCAAATGTTTGTTTTATTAGCACATCATCACAAACACATTGATCTTTTCTCTGGACTTCCAGCTTCACTTGATCTGCACCTAAGCTAATGTTTTTTTCATTCTCAAATTTACTACTTCTCCTGTTATTTATATTTACATCATACAATCAAAAATCCAGTAGAAAAGAACATTTAGCATAAAATTGCCTCAGAAAGAAATGTAGAGGTCCTACAAAATATTTTCTTGACCTTGCTTTGTATTTCTGACCAGGATTATGGTTTAAGGTTAATTAACAAAAGCGGGTTTAGAACATTAAATAAATATACAGAACCATTGTTATATTTAATGATAGCATTATACATTCAGTGCAAATCACATTATCACAAAGGTGTTATTGGATTGACATCTTTGGACTGTTGAGTCCATTGGACTACTGTAATAAAAACTGAAGCACACACAAAGTTTTAAAATGATTTTAAGCTTTGTAAAATGGAAAGTTATCATGATAAGTAACCATACAGACACTATTGTAGAAGGGATTATGTTTCAGGTCAGATAATCCCTTGTTGGCTTGTTTATAACCAATATTCAGATAGGTCACAACATTTAAATAATGCTCCATTGATGCTTTGGTGTCTAAAGTAGCTATATCAGGAAAATGTCCCGTACACGGATATTTTTTCAATCAGTAATTTTCCAATTCTGGTGAGCCTGTTAGGCATGTAGCCTGCGCTTCCTCCTCATATTTCACATGAACTTTATCTGGTGAGATCTTCTGCTGTAAACCCCAGATTCAAAGTTTAACCTATGACCCATTCAGAAATGGCTTTGACAAATGTTTTGTAGCCTTTTGACCATCTCTTCTGACCTTTGACATCAACAAGGAGCTTTTGCAACTTACTCACCAAATGTTTTCTTTTTTTTTCGCACCATTGTTTTTAAACCCAAGAGTTGGTTAGATATCAGAGCAAAAGTAGATCAGCAGTTTATTAAAAAAATTATTTAAAAGAGACCATAGACTTTAACATAAGGACTAGGATTAGACAAGTGCTTCTAATTGCTTATAAAGCTAATACATATATCATAATGGAAAGCTGGAATACAGAAGACACTGAAATGTTCAGAAATCAGTTCTCTTTGCACTTAAAACACTGCTAGTTAATGCTACAGAACGGAGAAAAGAGGAAAGACGTTTCTAAATTTTACTCTAATGTTTTTCTAACCCTATCTATAAAAAGAGCTCTTAAATAAGGGGCAATTAGACTGAGGTCACTGGTGTTGTTGACCACTTTTTGTGGATTGTGAGGCAGCCTTTCGCTGAGCAATGGGTTCAACTTATTAACAAAACCAGAATAATTTGTCATTTTCCACCTAAGCAACGCTCATTAACATTTTAATAAATCTCAGTCTAATTTCCAGTTTGTTACTAGAGGTTTAAACACACATTTATTCTGGATACTATTGGTGATTGCCAATAGTGTCCAGCATCTTACTTAGTAATGTCTTATTGACGTCGGACCACTTTTTTCAGTAATGAGTAATCTAACGCGTTGCTCTTTCAAATCCAGTAGTAAGACTACAGTTGCATTAAAGATTTTTTATTTAGAACCTTAAATTTGTGTAAAGGTGTAGCAGAGATTAGATCAGTCAGACTGAACAAAACTCATATCTGAGCAACATTTGAATTTTAGTTTTACTTTTCAACAGGTTGCTTCCTCAGAAAAACACATTTGATGTGCATTACTCATCATTTTTGGTCCTGCAGTTTGAAAGTGGTTTAGAAACTTTTTAAACCACATTTTATGTTGCATTTCACTGTAACTTTGCCAACCCCCCCAAAATTGGGGGGGCTTTCCTACTATGAACAAATGTTGATACCTGCAGGGCATGGTGTTAAAATGATACACAGAAATGTGGAAGTGCGTCTTGATAAGTTAAAATAGCATGTTTTCTTTTTTTGTCTTTTCCCACTTTTCTGCTTTTTACAATAATTAAATTGCAAAAGGTACTTATTTATATATACATATACATAGATATGATATATAGACATTATATGACTGTCTCTCTAGATAGATAGACAGACGGACGGACGGACGGACAGACAGACAGAAAATTTGATACCTTTTTCTTAAAACCAATCTCTTTACTTTTTCAACAATCCGCTGAGCTCTGGAGTTACTTTTCAGTGTCCATCGAGTGCCTCCAAGTGGTCAGATGAGCATCAGCCCAGAAGTCACACAAGCTTACATCTTCATCAGTCCAGTTGGCATAATGAAGTGATCCAAACGAAGTTCTGCAGATCTTCGGGTCGCTCTGAACCAGAACCAGAAAGGACTCCAAACTTCAACATAAAACATAACTGTGACAAGTTACCTTTGAACTATAACAAGTTGCATTTGAAGTCTTATTCTTCACGTTTAAGTCATCAAAAGCTCTCCTTGAATTGTGCACTTTTTCTTTAAGAAGTGACCAGCGCGACTGGCCTACATCCCCCACAATTCCAAGCGGCGTAAGCCCGTCTGTCGTCGCAGAAGCGGGGCGATAGCGGCGCCTGATCCAGAGAACATGAAGGCTTGTGCTTGCGGAGAGTGACCGGGTCAGAGGTGAGGGCGACTGGTTCTACTGGGAGAAATGTCTCTGTCGTCCACACGCAGCTCAGACTCGACCAGCCGGAGGAGAAAGACCGCAGACCAGTGGCAGGGTGAGCGGATCACCTTCCTTATTTGGCTTCCTTCAACTTAAAACTTTATTATAACCTGCAGATTTCATCACTAATAGAAGGGGATGTCTACAGCATTCTCCATCTTCATTTTACTGCTCATTTTTCAGTCGTTATTCACCAGTTTGCAGATAGACAGACAGACAGTCACACTGTATTAATTAGTTAAGTTTTCTCTCAGCGTGGCTGTTTGTGTGCGTTGGATGGTATTAAAGTGTGACACAAATAGCTGCAAAAACTACCGACTCAACTATTCAATATTATCATTTGGAACAAAAAAAAATCTTCCAAAACGAATATTTCAAAACCAATAAAAAATAAATTAAATAAAAAAATCATAACAGCGAGTTAAATTAAAAAGTATATTTTTGAATTTGTTTAGTTAAAGTGATCATCAAGGGGATTCTAGCAAAAACACGCGTTTAGCAAATGTTTATATTTGTTAAAATGTTAAAGAATGAACAAAATCACTACAGGGAGGTTTTTAGATGTAACCCCCAAATTGTCATATTGACTGACTGAAATCATCAACATGCTGCTCTCTTTGTCATATTTGCTCATTCACCTTATGAAGCCCAGACAACAGCACAGAAATAGGAACCAAAACTAGGCTCCAAGTTAAAATGGGTGAGCATTGATGTCCTGACAAAAGGGGAAGTCAAGATTTTTGTTCTAATCGAGTGATGTCGTCAGTACTGTTTTGTCTGTATTGTCTATCGAAATAAATATGATCTTATAATTATTAACGAGTGAGATGTGACATTCTGACTCTGTACAAAAGAATAAAAGGACCTCCTGTTTGGTCTTCGCTGTTTCAGTGCATGCAGTGTTTGTCGTGACTAAAGGCAGTAAAATAATCTCCTCTCTGGTGTTACAGATCCTTCATGTGTTCTTGATCCTCATACAAGTTACAATCATGAGGAGATCCTTGACGGGCCGCAGGAGACCCAACAACTTGATGCCACACACACTCCGTCTCCACATCACTCCTTATGTCCTGCAGCCACTTGTAAGTCTTACGTACCAGAACGTTGCTTATGAGCAGCGTTTCCCAGCAGGTTGACAAGTGTTAACTGGGCAGGTTCATGCTTGTTGCTGCAGGTGCGAGCCGGCATGTCTGTGAAGACAGCTGGGAAGAGATACAAAGCAAGAGAACCATCAGAGTGGAGAATGAAGTGGAGGCTAACAAGCTGGTCAACAACTACAGGGTGAGACGGCGAGGGGTTTTCTTGCAGGTTAGAGTTACCAGAGTGTAAAGGGCTGGGAAACTTATAATTTGGTCTGTGAATCAGTTTGGTTTCAGAAAATGGAAGAGCCACGTCACGGCGCGACCGTTTGAAGAGCGGTCAGATGTTGTGAAGGAGCTTTACTCTGAACTGAACGTCATCAAGCCACACTCAAGTCCAGGTACAGATCTTCTGGTTTTAACTTCTAACTAAAGCTGTGAAATTATAAAGTTATCAAACAGTAAATTTACTTTTATAATTCTGTTGAAACAGGGAATCTCATTGTTATATAGATTCAGAACCCAAAGAGAGATATATTTCTATGTGTATGGTAATTTTCTGTGAAATTAGAAAGAAGACTTTTGTTGATTATAGACTAACTTGCTGATTTGCACCAGTAAATTAGTTGCAAAGAGATGTTTGTCAAGAAATATCACAATATGTTGATGAGGACATGAAACCTGTATTAAGATGTTTTAGTTAGGCTGTCCCAATAATCAATTAATCGCATAATAAATGAAAGAAAGGCATAATTTACTGTTTTTCTTTCTACCACAAACTGGATGATAAAAATCTTTTGTTTATTGCTTTAGTTTAAAATGTAACCAGTAGTCCCACCGAAAGATTTTTGAGCCTTGTTTTTTTTTTTTTTTTTTTTTTTTTTTGTGGCTCTGTTTTCAGGTCACTTCATCACATGTGGAAATCTTGTGTATGTGCTCCTGTTTGGTTGGTGGGTGTCTCTGGCGTATTTTTTGGTCGGCATTCTGATGTTCATCACTGTTATCGGCTTACCCTACGGTAGGTGGGACATGTTGTGTTAAACATAA